TTACACATACAGTAGTCTCCCAAACTCCTTTCCCTAGTGGGTGCACAAACGTTCTGTGTTGAGAAGATATGCTGTGCTGTAGTGGTCGTTCTGTTATACAAGGTCTAGCTAGAGGGAGCTGGGTGAACAGCAGGAGAGTTTGCACTTCTTACAACTATCCTTTTCCTCGCTGATTTCTCTTGCACTGGGAAGCTGACTTGCAAGGTCAGAGCAGCTGCTACTGCAAAGCAGAGGGAAACAATCCTGTACTACATTGCATGCAGGAATTTGGTCATGGACATGTAAGAAATAAAGCTACAAGGAAGTTTTTTTGGTCTGCATTTATATCTTCTAAGTTTTTTGTTTTTAAGGTGAGGGGAAAGGTGGCTGGTATCTGTGTGGGGGGGAACGAGGGCGGAGTTTATAGCAAGGTTTTAAACTTGTGAGTCTTCCATACAACCACAAGGGGCTAGGGGGGAGTTTATAGCAAGGTTTTAAACTTGTGAGTCTTCCATACAACCACAAAGCACTTGTTACACCATCTTTTGCATGGCACAAGATTAAGTACAGAGCATGCTACTGTGGTAACAGTTCAGAGGCAATTTATTTTGCAGTTGTACTAAGGTCACGTATCAGTCATTGGTGAGTATAATAATTCTGCTAAAAAAAAAATTCTGCTTGAAAACTGGTCTGAAAAGTGCAGGTTTTGCAGCATTGTCAAGTCCAAGTGTTTGAAAGTCATAATTCAAGTTCCAAAAAACCCATGAGATTAAAAAAATCAATTTGAGTTTTTCTTCTCTCTACTGAGCCCTACAGATATACTCTGGTCATGTTTTCAATTTTCTTCTGCAACCCTAAGGGTTAGAAACTTCCTTTTTGTTTTAATGAAAGCTGAGATTCTCCCATAATCATATGATTATAAGGGAGGGGGCTTTCAGAAGAAAGCCAAATATCAGAAAACTTGTGATAAAATGGTGAGATGTGGCAATGATTATTAGCGTTGCTGGGTATAGTGTGACTGTTTCCTTTGGTTACAATCTGTGTGGCTTTGTGCACAGCCTCTCCTCCCACTTGAGTTTCACTTGGAGGTTGTGGTTTGAATAAACTCCAGATAACTAGTGAAACTGCTAAGTTCCATCTAGTTTTGATTAGTAGTTATTGAATTCTCATGCATTTGATGCAAAACCCTAAGTTGGCCCAGCTTTGTGTGAAGTGTTTGGTAACCACATCCACCCTTTCGACTGACTTGATCTGAGTATAAAATATTAAATGGGAATGCATTAAAATGCATTTTAATTTTCTTTTTTAGCTCACCAAAGTAGCACTCCTGCATCACCAGTATTCTGCTTTGCTTCAGGCACTCAGCATGCACTGGGCTGATGATGGAAATATCGCTGCGTCTATAGTAAAGATGGCAGTTTGGGTATGAAGATACAGTAAGTCTGATCTTATTCTGTATCGAGTCGTGTTTGCTTTTTAAATATTCCTCTTTCATTAGGATAATCTGATGTATTTGGACTGTCCCGTTTAGAGGGCTTGGCCACGCATAATGTCAGATAGGATGATGACAAGATGTGACTCCAATGTCAATAGGACAGTCAGGACACCCTGATGACTAGACACAAATATACTGTACTTCAGAGAGATCCATTTCTTTTACAATTCGAAAGTAATACAATAGTAGGGGAAACAGCTTCACATGACAAGATTCCTTTGCTTCCCATGTTGACCTAATCCTTAAACTTCCTTTTAGTTCTGGTCATCTGTAGAAGTGGGCTTTGCCCATGAAAGCTCATGATACCATCTACAACATGTTTTGTTAGTCTACAAAGTGCTACCAAACCATTTGTTGTTTTTTAATTTTTTTCCCTTTAGCAGCCACTCTTGATCTTACTTTTAGCTACAGCAATGATTTGTATTTTAGTGAGACCTTTTCTGTCTCTAGTTACACCTTAATTATTCATTGTCCATGCTACTGGACTTCTTGGTTACACTACTCCTTCAGTTTCTCATTGGGATAGCAGGCTATTTAATGTTTTAGGTCCTTAGGCTATGAAAGTGAAGGAGAAGCCCAGTGGCCAAAAAATTATACTATTCCTCCCCATGACCACCTGCATCCAAACCTTATTAGTAATACACATTCAAGAAACTGAAACATTGGGACGGAGTACTTGTTTTATAACCGGATTCTCTACATGCCATTTCCACCAAATATACAGTATTTAAGGATTTTGCAGCAGTCATGCTGAACCAAATTCTGCTTCTGCAGAGGGCAGAATCTTGCTCATTGTTCTAGCCATTGGAGGAAATGAACACAAACAGGGAAACACATTTTTAGCACATTTTTATTTTTAAATCTTTTTGTCTGATCTTCTGTGGTTGTATATTTGTACATAATTTCCTTACCTCCAAGATGACTTCTATACCATTTCTGCAATCAGGTAATGTGCTCTCTGGGGTGTGATTTCTAACACATCCTCATGTGTTATGTTTTAATGGGTTGGGTGAATACCCTGCTGGTGCACTTTAATGGAGGGCTGTTTGAAATAGTATTACGTAAGTGCACTAGAGAAGCTTTAGTGTGCACCAGCAGGGTCTGCATGGCTCAATTAATATGCAAGATGCTATGATGTGGTAGAAAGTGTGTATGTGTGTGTGCGCAAAACTGTATCTACATAGAGCCAAATTTTTCTCTCTGCTTATCCGAGGGTAAATCCCCCATAACCCAATTGAAGTAACACTGGTGTGACACCAGACAAAGTTTATCCCACTATTTCCAGACTCTTTTTTTCTCCCCAAAAGAGGTGGAAAATTGCTAATTTCTATTATGAGCAGGCTGCCCTGTGGCCCAGCAATTCAAAATGGCCTGTGGTTTGCCAGCTGCTGCTGCTGCTTCTGAGGCAGCAGTGGTAGTTGCAGCCTGGGGCCCTTTAAATTTCCAACACAGCCCCAAGCATTGCTGAAGAGCTGGTAGGGGGAGCGTAGCCCCAGCATTGCCCCTGCTGCTTGAGGCTCCGCCCCTTCAGGAACATAGGGCTGCCTCCTGATCTTGCCCTGGGGCCCAGCAATTCTGTCCCCACCCTAGTTCTTAGCACATTGTTAATGATGCAGAGTGTCACATACAAGTTAGAACAAAGTACACAAATGATGTGATCCACCTGCACAACAAGAACAATGTGGTCTGCAGACAAAGCACTACAAAATAAAAGAATCCCACAAAATAAATGGGATTGTAGCATGAACCATTTTGCTATAGACTCATGGATGTTATGGCCAGTAGTGACCATAATGATTCTCTAGTCTGACTTCCTGAAGATCGCAGGTCAAAGAACGTCACTCAGCCAGTTCTGTAACAGACACATAATCTCCTGGCTGAGTTACTGAAGTCCTCAAAACCTTTATTTATAGACTGCAACAAATACCGAAGAATCCATCATTTGCTATAGTTTATACCTGTAAGTGACCAGTAATCATGCTGCAGAGGAAGGTGAAGAAACATTTAGGCTGTGTCTAGACTGGCAAGTTTTTCCACAAAAGCAGCTGCTTTTGCGGAAAAACTTGCCAGCTGTCTACACTGGCCGCTTTGAATTTCCACAAGAACACTGAAGATCTCATGTAAGATTGTCAGTGTTCTTGTGCAAATACTATGCTGCTCCCATTCGGGCAAAAGAAGATGGGAAGGGCTCTGAGTTACTACTGAGAATTCTTTTCCAGGTGTCTGGCTGGTGGGTCTTGCTCACGTGCTCAAGTTCTAACTGATCACTTTTGGGTAGAGGAAGCAATGTCCCCTAAATTCAGATTAGCAGAGACCTTAAGGCTACGTCTAGACTGGCATGATTTTCCGCAAATGCTTTTAACGGAAAAACTTTTCCGTTAAAAGCATTTGCGGAAAATCATGCCAGTCTAGACGTAGCCTTAAGGTCTCTGCTAATCTGAATTTAGGGGACATTGCTTCCTCTACCCAAAAGTGATCAGTTAGAACTTGAGCACGTGAGCAAGACCCACCAGCCAGACACCTGGAAAAGAATTCTCAGTAGTAACTCAGAGCCCTTCCCATCTTTAGTCAGTGGAGATATTTGCTAATAGCAGATTCAGATGAGCCATATGCCATTTCCTGCAACTTCACCATACTATTCCCTTCAGAAACTTAGCAAGCTTGGTCTTAAAACAACTTAGCTTTTTTCCCTGCCTCTCCCCACCACTATTCCTTTTGAGAGCAGGGGTAGTTTGAAATAGCATTATAACATTCAAGTGCAGTAGGGAACCGTTAGTATTGCAGACTGTCACTCCTCTGATGGTTAGAAACTTTGTCTAATTTCAAGCCTAAACTTGTTGCCAGTTTATATCCATTTGTTCTTGTGTCAACATTGCTGCTTAGCTTTACTTCTCTCCCTTCCTGGTGTTTATCACTCTAATGTGGTTAGAGAAAGCAATCCTGTCTCCCTTCAACCTTCCACAAGTCACGGTCCATGAGTTTCCTCTAATAAGGTAGATTTTCCATTTCTCTGACTCTCTTTTAGCCCTTCTGCATAGGAAAACCTTTTCCCTAGGAAGTCTGTGTTTTCTAAAATCTATCTAATGTTTAATTCGTTGATTTCGTTTTGTTACTTGCATTATCTCAGGTAAATTCAGTTCTCTTCATATTCTCAGAGGAGCCGGTGGTACGTCTGTTTTAATTCTATAGATTTAGTAGAATGTCTTAAGGGCTTTGCCTTTTATTTTCTTCTGTTGATGATTGAGTGAAGAAGCAACAGCAGCTTTGCAGCATCCTGTCCTCTTGTATTTGTCCTTGTGGATTCTCCTATTACTTACCAGAATATACATTTTCACGAGCATGTTCATCATTTTACTTTAATCAAATGAGACCTTGCTTTGTATCTTTACAGTCTTACTTAGACTATATGGGATGGTAATGGTTAATATATGTATCATTTGCTAGGTGGCTAGCGAAAGAGTAATGTGAAGCTCTCCTTTCACTCCCTGTGTTTGCAGCTTTCCCAGTTCCTGACAAGATCACACTGCACTTTTTCAAACAGTTTAATGTTTAAAATAAAATCTAAGATTATAATCTGCAAGGACAGTTACCGATTAATATCAAAGCATAATCATACTTCTAATGGGTCTGTAATTACAAATATAAAATCCATATGAACAGAAATATAAATCTACTTCTAGAGTTAAATAAGATGTATAATCATAACTGCAAACTCAGACACATGCATTTATACAAAGGTCTGTAACTTGCCCTACTGGCATATACTCATAAGCATATATCTTTATAATACAATAATTTTGTCTATTGTACTTTAAGAAAACAACATATGTATCAGCCAGCTAGTTGGTCTTCCACTATTAAATGTTCTGATTCGGATATCAGAAGAGGAAAAAATCCTCAAGCTTATCAACAATCCATCAGCTATTCAGTTTGGGGTTTTCCTCTATTGAGCTGGTCAGTGCATTTCTAATACTTGTTATTTGATGAACTGGTACATTTATCAATGCCACAATACGATGGTTGTCAGGCTTTGGAGATGGACATTATTTAGCATTCCTCCAAAAATGTGAACATTTAAAGAGGTTTCCCCAGAGGCAGTATACCTGTCTTTTCATGACGTAATTGTCCCAGCGTGTCCTTTTATTATTGAACTCACCCAAATGTGGCAGTCTCTTACTTCTGCCTCTAACATTGTAAGACTAATCATGACAAACAGTAGATGGCACTGTTGCTCAACAAGAGATAACCAGTGGATTAGACAAGGACTGGTGACTCTGAGCTTTCTCTAGAGGCTTGCTCTGTAGGAGTTCGCAGGCAGCCAGCTCATGGTAGAGCGTATCTAGGACCTCAAGGATGTGGTCTTTTCCTTTAAAAGAAAATTACAAAATATATTAGCATACCGACAAAGCTCGGAAGCTGCAGTTTAACAGTTAGCAGGCTACCTCTCTTTTCCAAATTCAAACAGAGAATTCTGAATGGGGAGCCCAGAGACTGAATTGTTCTGCATTTCACAGGAACACAGAGTGGAACAGGACACCGGGACTAAGTCCTCTGCAGCTCTGCCTACTGCAAACTCTGTGCTCATTAAATCTCCTCATCCTTGCTGTGTAAACAGACTGCATTTCAAACACATTGGCCGTCTGCTGTGTGCTGAACTGCACCAGCACTTAACTTCCTGAAACCCAGCCCTGAAGGATGGGGACACTGTGCTGGTCTAAAGACCTACCTGTGCTTCAAATGGAACTGGATTCAAGTCCGAATGTAGCTAATGTAGCATTCTCTCACAGTCAGAGCATGTTTAACCACAAAGATTTTGGAAAGCAGCTCCCATCACATCAAGTGCCAAGCCAGAAAATCCAAAGCAGAGGAAACGTAGGGAGTTCATAACAGAAGAGATACAGATTGGATAGAAAATATACTGATGTGTGCTTCATTAAATCCTTTTGTTCTCAATTACACATCTTAGGGTGTGTCTAGACTACATGCCTCCGTCGACGGAGGCATGTAGTCTAGACACACCCTTAGAGGTCAGGCGACCTCAGGATTAGAGGGCAAGTGGAGTGAAGGAAACGTGGGCCCAGCAGGGCTGGGGCAGGCAGAGTGACAGGAAAATGAGCCAGACAGGGCTGGAACAGGCAGCACAGCTTGGATCAATTATTTCCCTGTACATAAGAATGACCATCCTGGGTCAGATCAAAGGTTCATAAGGTCTTCCGAAAGTGACCAATGCCAGATGCCCCAGAGGGAGTGAACAGAACAGATAATCGTTTGACTCACCTGCTGTCATCCATTTCCAGCCTCTGACAAACAGAGGCTAGGGACACCATTCCTACCCATCCTGGCTAATTAGTATGATGGACTTAATCTCCATCAACAACATCCTCTGGCAAGGAGTTCCACAGGTTGACTGTGCGCTGAGTGAAAACTTCCTTTTGTTTGTTTTAACCTGTTACCTTTTGATTTCATTTGGTGACCCCTAGTTCTTACGTTATGGGAAAAAGTAAATAACTTTTCCTTATTCACTTTCTCCGTACCTGTCATGATTTTATAGACCTCTATCATATCCTAAGGATGTTACTTACAACTTGTATCGAGTACATAATTAGTCAGTAAGGGGCCTCTGCATCTCTGCAGTTTAAATGTAGTAGGAGCCAGGCATGCAGGCAGCCCAGCTCCTACCGCGTTTAAACTGCAGAGCCACATTTAAACTGGAGTAGGTCCAGGACCCAGCAGGAGCTGGGTCTGCTTCAGTCCCAGCTCGCACTGGGTCCAGTTATTCAAAAGGCAGAGCCGCAGCACAGCTGTGCCTCTACCTCCCCTGCCCTCTCTGCACTACAGAAACGGCTGGCTTCCCCCAGCATCAGTTCCTGCTTCCCATCCCCCATCCCCTCTTGCTGCCTTTGATATAGAGGCATCAAGGGGACGTGGGAAATGTGAGTAGTCAACTCGACTCCTGATAACTACCTGATCAGTCTAGGCTTGACTGTTGGACTATTCTTTTACATCCCTGTCATATCCCTCCTTAGTCTCCTCTTTGCTAAGCTGAAAAGTCCCCATCTTTTTAATCTCTCTTCATATGGGACCCGTTCTAAACCTCTAATAATTTTTGCTGCCTTTTTCTCAACCTTTTCCAATGCCGATGTATATTTTAGAGGAGGTGACCACATCTGCACGCAGTATGCAAGATGTGGGCGTCCCATGGATTTATATAGAGGCAATAAGATATTCTGTCTTATTCGCTATCCCTTTTTTATTCCTAACATTGTTTTTTTGACTGCCGCTGCACATTGAGTGGATGTTTTCAGAGAACTATCCATAATGACTCCATGATCTCTCTCTGGAGTGTTTATAGCTAAATTAGTCCCCAAAATTTTGTATGTATAGTTAGGGATTATTTTTACCAAAGTACATTACTTTGCATGTATCAACTTTAAAATTCGTTTCCCATTTTGTTGCCCAATCACCTCGTTTTGTAGAGTAGATGTTATGCCTCCGGGATGCTGGACAGCTGTCCTATAAGGTGGAGCACCGCCCTGCCAAAATATTCCCTCTGTACTCATTGGAGCTGCTCTTGCTTGTGCTCCCCAGGCCCACAGCTCAGGTACCCCCAGAGGGAGTGAAGAGAACAGATGATCAAGTGATCCATCCCCTGTGCCCATTCCCAGCTTCTGACACACTGAGGCTAGACACGCCATTCCTGCCCGTCCAGTCTAGAGCAGGAACTCTGTTCAATATTGTCTTGACACTGAATCCCTGTATGACAAGCCTTTTATACAGCAAGAAGACTCAGTGGAAATCAGAGCATTTTGTACATGTTACTTTCCCTGAATTACTGCTGTTAATATTCTGCAGAACAAACCCTCAGGCTGCATCTACCCTTTCATTATCTCTTCTTTGACCCCTCTCTGCCTATTTAAAGCCCCTACAGGCAGTCTTCCTATGCAAACTGACTGGGTACAGTAGGTCAGCCTCCTTGAAGATGGTAAATATAAAAGCTTGGCTAACAGGAACAAAGTAATCAAATAGGAACCTCCAGGCTGTGGAGCCTGCATGGCTCTTCTAAAGGCAGCTCCTGCACAGTGGGCTATTGTTCCAGGAGAGGAGTTTGCAAGTTTAATTTTCATAACAAGAACACGAAGCGGCGGCTTTATTAATGACGAGCAGGTTTGATCCACTGACTTTACTGCAGCTTTCCTTTGTACCTTCTCTTTCAATCAAGTAGAGAAGCGGTCTAGACAATGACATTATAGTCAGCGCAGAACTAGGGGGTTCACATTCTGCTCTGATACCTGTGCTACCACACTGACGTTGGAGGGGTTGAATGTGTTTAGAAGGCAAAATCTGGATCTGTGGGCAATCTCTACCCTTGGATGAGTGCAGATGGCTCCTATTGATTTCAGGGGGATGAAGAATTTACCTTAAGGGTAGAATTTGGCATTATGCCCTGCACATTCCCAGTTTCTGTAATTTCAAAGATTAGAAGCCACCAGCTTTAGCAAGGGTCTTCCACAGTAATTTTCCCCTTTGACAATGAGTGACTCTGTTTCTCAAGAGACTCTGAACTGCAAATGTACTTTGCATACATCTTGTTCCTCACGCGTGCTTTCTTACCATGTTGGGGGGCACGGCAGGAATCCAAAGTGCTCAGCAGGATTTTCCCCAAGGCTCTCTTCGATATGCTCTTTAAAACACAAAACAATGTCATAGAACATAAGAACATAAGAACGGCCATATTGGGTCAGACCAAAGGTCCATCTAGCCCAGTATCCTGTCTGCCGACAGTGGCCAGCACCAGGTGCCCCAGAGAGGGTGGACCGAAGACAATGATCAAGCGATTTGTCTCCTGCCATCCTTCTCCAGCCTCTGACAAACAGAGGCCAAGGACACCATTTTATCCCCTGGCTAATAGCCTTTTATGGACCTAACCTCCATGAATTTATCCAGCTTCTCTTTAAACTCTATTATAGTCCTAGCCTTCACAGCCTCCTCTGGCAAGGAGTTCCACAGGTTGACAACACGCTGTGTGAAGAAGAACTTCCTTTTATTAGTTTTAAACCTGCTACCCATTTGAACAATGAATACCCACCCCAGTTTGATACACACAGTGGGTTTGGCATTTGAAAATGAAAACAAAATTAATTCCTCATAACACGGCCACTTATTTTGGAATCATTTTCAGTCTTTGACTCAATGAAGCTGCATAGTCGGCAGCAGATTTAGGTGTCCCTGTTCCTTGGTTCCTGGCTTTACTAGAAGTATCTGCAATAGTTCAAAGGGAAATGGCGAATGCAGAGCTGAGCTTTCGGAAGCTTGTGGCCATGAAAATTCAGATGCCTGCATTTATCATGGAATGGAAGCAGGAGACAGCCATGCGCAAGGCTATCAAAAGCCTGGCTAGGCTCATGCAAAGCCAGATGCGTTGAAAGATGGGCAGTATAATGTCGTGTTCAGGAGAACCAGCTGGGGAAGCTGTCTCTTGGCTACTATCTATTGAGCCCTATTGAACGGTAGAGAGAGTACCTCCAGGTTTTAGGGCTAAGGTAGCTAGTCTGGCCTGCCTTGGTAAGGATTCCATTTTAGAAATGGTCGGAGCTGCTACATGGTGTTTAGAAAGCACCACTCCCTTAATTTGGTACCTAGATTTTGTCTAGGGGAGAGGCAGCCCTGCAGTCTTTGACTAGCACCCTCAGTCCACTTACCAAAGAGGATTAGATGTTTTGATTAAATTCCTGAAGAAAGACAATTGCACAACCCAGAACTGCAGTTCAAGTGTTACTGCACCTCCTTGTTCACATGACCCAGCCACCTTCCCCTCCTCTTCCAAGTCCTGCTTGTCCATAACCCTTAGGTTTAGTGACAGCAGAAACTCAGGTGTCTGAGGCTACGTCTAGACTGCAGGCTTCTTGCACAAGAAGCTTTTATCGGAGGAGATCTTCTGCAAAAACTTCTTGCACAAGAGTGCATTGAAAAAGTGATGGGCTTTTGTGAAAGAGAGCATCCAGACTGCATGGATGCTCTCTCACAAGTAAGCACTGATTGGTATGCACAGAATGGCCACCAGCGCACCTGTGCTTTTTCCTCTTTCCTCTTTTTGCACAAAACCCCTCTTCCCCGTCCACACACGCCTTTTTGCAAAAGAACGCTTTCGCAAAAAGGCTTCTTCCTCATAGAAAGTGGAATACCAATTGCGCAAAAACCCCTCTGTTCTATCGATTCTCTTGAGCAAAAACGCACTTGAGGTGTGGACATTCCGCGAGTTTTTCCGCAAAAACTCTGTAGTGTAGACATAGCCTGAGACTGCATGTCCCTTTGATCCTGTGTTCTGAACAATCCCCAGTGTTGGAAGAGGATGTTTGGCTCCAGACTGGCCCTGCTTACTAGAAGGTTCCTGCACTCATGTAATACTGAAAATGACATATCTATAGGGGTTAATATACAGAGACAATATAGCCTTAAAAGCTTATTCATTTGTAACTGTAGTTTCTCATTAAAGCACTTTCCCCATAGGAGTTTATAAGTGGTTCTTTAGGGGAACCTGTAAATCATCTTTTTTTCATTACACTTTATTATTTCCCTCACTGGAGTTAGAGAACATGACAGCACATAAAGACATATCTCCAACAATTATTAGCATTAAGCAGAACTTCCACAAGAGTGGAGCACATTGCATGATGGATCATCTCCAAAGCTGAAACGATTTTCAACAACACTCCTGACCAATGAATGGCATGTCAGAGTATTAATACGAAAAGTTCTTATGCCTGCTGTCAATCATTCTTTGCCAGCTTAATGGTACATCCTTCTTAGGATTAGATTGTTATTGATCCATGTAGTGTCAGGCATGGGATGTGAAAATAAAATAGGCTATGCCAAACAATAAAGTAAGTAAATGTAATTTGAGATACTGCATGTGTTCTCTAGAGTCAGCAGTAGAACACCCACACACTTCAGACATGGTGAAGTCAGAATCTGAGGACAATAATTTTAATTAAATGCACAGTGAACAGCTCTGCAAAAAATTCAGGAGACACCCTGAATCCTAATCCAATTTTTTTTAACTCCTAACAGTGCAGATTTGTACAGCTCCTAACATGTCCCATGTTCAGCCCTTTATCCAGCTTCCTCATTTCTTGACTACTTCTCACCGCTACCCCTACCCCCGTCTTCTAGCCAGGAATTTAAAATAGCTTTTTAAGGACTGACCCATCACATTTTAGATAAGAGCCACTTTGACATGTGAGTCCCTCCATTCTGATTAACTAAATAGCCCCTAACCTGGTTAGTATTTGGACAGGAGCATCTCTGGTACTACAAGAAGTAGGTTTGCTTCTTCAGGAAGTTGTACTCTTCTTGCTGAACTAGAGCTCATACATAGTGAAGCTGGTTGTGCGGGATGACGGAGGAATCATTGTGTAACATGACTGGGTGCCTTTCAGCCCAGCACTGACTATACATCAGGTTGGTATGTCAGTGCTTTGGAATGAAAAGTTAGAGAAATGTGCGGGAGGATTATGTTCTTTCATTTCTTTTTTTCTATACATGTGGATGGGAGTGGTGCATAACCTATGCCTGGTGCATGCTGGGGTATAACGGGCAAAGGCCCTTTAAAACAGTGGAAATAGAACCAGACAAATATTTCTTAGGTCTGTTTCTACTGCCACTAAAATGTCTGCCACTAAAAAGATATTTTCTGTGGATGTGGGGGTGAGCAGGCCAAACTTGAGCACTCCAGAGTCTCCAGATGGTCAGTCGGATATAAAGACATTTATTTCTAAAATTGTCACTGGGGTAGTGTTGAATGCCAGCAGGATCCTTCCAGAGGATAGCTGAAATAAAACCCAGCCTTCGATATAATGATGTGGCTCTGCAAGTAACTGACCAATACTTACAAATTCATGTTGCAGCACAATCCATGCAGTGAAGTAGGTATGCCCCCAAAGTACAGCATCTTAGGTATACTATGTGTTTGGGTGTGCCCTACACTATCAATGTAATATTTGATGCATTTTCTTCTGGAGGACTAAATCCTGCTCTTAGAGGGGCTTGGGCCTAACTTAGTGGTTTTTTAGAAAACCTGAAACTACTATGATCCTAAACCTTTGTTTGGGGGAAGGGGAGAATTTGGAGATCTGTGATGGAAAATTACATGTAAGAACCCCTAGGGTTTTTCCTCTTTGCTGCAAGGCAACCACTGGAGCTGATGGTACCTGTGCAGCTGTGTCTTTTTAATGTAAGGGAACCCTTGGATTTGGATGTAAGGAACAAAAATCCTTTTCAGTGTGGGAAGGACATCATCAAAACCAGCTCTCATTCTCTGGACTACTTTCTTGCCGTACCAGGTCTTGAAGTTGTTGAAGAAGCTGTAAAACATCCATGAGCTTTTCTTCCACCAGTGACAGCCTAACTCTCTCAGTCTCCAACATCTGTAGCTCCATCTTCAATAATTCAGTCTCCTCCACCTTTTGTTGCAGTTCACCTAGCAATGGGCCTTTCATCTGGACAAGGACATAGGAAGTTAAAAGCACTGGAGCTTGTGTTCTCTTGCACAGAAATTGCAAAGCTAAGTTTTCCTCCAGACCAGTAAATGTCAGTTTGCTCCTGAAAACTATTGTGAAGGGAAATTCTTTATGTTGTTGTATTGCTGTTTCTTTAAGGCACTGGATCAATAGCTGCTGGGAAATGCATTTGCTCTTCTTCATGACAATTCATTCAATATTTGGTGTAACTAGACTATTCAGAAATTGTAATTGTTCTCATTCTCAATTCAATACTTCAGCCTTTCTTATCTTTGTTTTTTCAAAGGAGGATAATGTAGAGAGATTTCTCTGTTTCTCTCACTACTGTCTCCACCCTTTCCCCCTCTATCCCATCCTACAGGCATAGAACACAGATTTATTAAATTAAGTAATAAGAAGGTGATATAGTCAGCAATTTTCTTGTAAGCATCTTGGGTAAAGTGAGTTTTGGGGAAAGATTTAAGACCCTGAGGGTACGTCTAGAGAGTGGGGCTATTTTGGGATACCAGAGGTATCCCGAAATCGCTACCCCATGTCTTTTAATCATGCCTGTTATTTCAAAATATTTTTCAAAATAATGGGTACGCTATTTCGGTATCCCTGTAATTCTCATTCCACAAGGGTTAAGGAATGTGTCAAAATAGCATGTTATTTAGAAATAAAATAAAAATAAGATACACAATTTGCATAGTGCAAATTGTGCATCTTATTTCAAATTTAGGGTGCTTTGTAGATGCTCCCTGATTCAGAATGCTTAAATAGGGAGATTAGTGGTTTGTAGTCCAGCTCAAGAAAAGCCTGTTCAAATAGGACATCCAGAAGCAAGCTGACAGATGGAAGTACCCATGTGCTTAAAGTTAAACATGTGACTAAGTGGTTTGTTGAACCAGGACCTTCCTGGGTTACTGCAAAGTCAATCTCTAGGGCTGTCTAGCCCTCAATAAAACCTTCCACATTCCCCATTAGCACCCTATCCCCCAAGGTATCAAATCAGTTTCTCTCTCAGTCTTGCCTCTTGGAGCTGTTTCACTTTGTAAAAGTAATTAAATATTGTGTGGGCCTCAGCGATACAAAAGCTATCGTCAGTCTCTCCCATCTCAAGAAAGTGTCAGCCAATATATGTGGATGGAACAAAGCTGTGTTGAAATATTTTTGACCACTTCTAATAACCTCTCCTCATTTAAGCTTTTGCACTAGTAAATAGGGGTGGATTTCAACACATGCTTAAACTGAAGTATGTGCTCAAGCACTTTGCTGAATCAGGGTCTTAAATCCTTCCTCATCACCTACTTCTTCCAAGAGGTTTGCAAGACAGACTGTCTAAATTATCTACTTATTTCTTTCATGTGTTTTACTTATGAGTGAAATGCTCACCTGCTGGTGGGAGGATGTCAAAAGTTGGAAGGATAGGACATGAGGATGCTGGTATCTAAGCTTGCATTTTGGTGCGGAAGAAAGACAAGACGGCTGGATTGCAGAGGGAGGGCAAATTAGCATTTAACTTACAAGTTTCATTGTTCTAAAGAAATAGGACTTGTGCCTGTCACCATTCAGATCACCCAGGTTGTATGTTGTCTCCCTTTTCCCACCTCTTCTCTGTTGGATGCTCTGCCCTCGTGTCTCCTCTTCTCTGTTGGATGCTCTGCCCTCCTTGGAACAAAAACCGTGTCGTCTTTGCTGGTTGGAAAATGCCGTGATGCTAATGTGACCTAAATAATAGTAACCAGCTCCATGAATATCTCTCTGCCTCCTCTCTCACACATTTCTGTAAATCAATATCAATCTCCAGTTTGGGGTGTAAGGAGGAATAATAGTTCAGAACAGTTTGATCCCTCCTCTCTCTCACACATTTCTGTAAATCAATGTCAAACTCCAGTTCGGGGTGTAAGGAGGAATAATAGTTCAGAACAGTTTGATCATTAAGTATTATCTCAGAAGGGAGGCAGGGAGAGAGACAGGTGAGCACCGGTATCCCCATTTCCCAGATGAATGAAATGAAAGGAGGTTAAATGACATGTAAAAATCCAGCCAGCAAATCTGTCAGAGGCAGAATTAGAATTTAGGAGTTCCTAGCACTTGGTCCCCTGATCATCCCACTCTCAAATTCTGCCCCTCAGAGCTTGTGTTAAGCCCCTCTTGTCTGCTCATCACAGAACTGCCCCACAATATGGACTGTTAAAGATACCAGAGGCCTAGGACTGATGGAGGAAAGGCAATGCCAGTCAGGAATGCAATGCAGATGGACTGTTAGAGATATCAGAGGCCTAGGACTGATGGAGGAGAGGCAATGCCAGTCAGGAATGCAATGCATTTGCTGAGCTATTAAAATGAGTCTGGAGAACATCTATTGGAAAGCGCTTATATTAAATATTAATTTCTGACTTTCATGAGCTGTAATTAATTAAACCAAAATAAATCTCTCATCCCATTCATTACTAGGCCCAAGCAGAGCACACAGCCTTCCTAAATATTATTATTCTTTGCAATTATTTGCTGCAAAGAGAAGTCAAATATATTTATTCTTAACTGTATTTATTAACACAATCCCATGTGATAAATGTCACGTTTGCTGGTTCTGTTAATCCCTTTTTGTTTCATCTTTATTACAGTTTTAACTGCAGCAGGGCCCCTTCTTAGGGAGAGAGGTGCTGAAATGACTGTAGGCTTTGAACGAAACAGCCTCTTCCTAGATTATATTTGGCAGAAAATATTATCTGAATCAACATTTCGTAGTTGGGCGGGGCATCACTCCTCCCCCCACTTCCAAGAGCTTATGTGGTCACAGTGCAGAAGTGAGATAATCCTTGGTCTACATTTTATTATATGACACCGCTAAAAAGAATGTTTTAATTGGCACTTGAGGTAGCATCAGATGAAAAAAATTAATTGCTGCCATTAGCCAGACATGACCTTTACTTTGTGAACACCTCTAACTCCTCCAGCCTACAGAACAGTTTACATCCGAATGACTTAGTCTATATTCCAAGTGCCTTGAGAATTCCTCTGTGAACACTCACTTCACAGGAAAGAAGCAAATAAATGAATAGTTGTCTGTACATACACCCAACCTCATCGCCATCAACGGCGAGCTGTCGGGCTAAGGCATAATCAATGCTCTCTGAGACTGTGGGGAGGGAATTGTCTGATTTGAATTGACCTTATTGCTTCTTTCAGCTAGCAGTCCCTCCCTTCCTCTTCTGCACTGCACACATCCTGTATTTCATAGGTCCTGATCTCTACAGAAGGTATGTCTACACTGCATTCCTCTTTCGAGAGAGGAATGCAAATGCAGCTGAGCGAAATTGCAAATGAAGCACGGATTTGAATTTCCCATGCTTCATTTGCATAATCGTGTCCGGGTGCTATTTCGAAATACCCTATTTCGAAAAAAGAAATGCAGTCTAGACGCGGTTATTTCGAAAGAAAACCCTTCTTTCAAAATAACCCTTACTCCTTATAAAATGAGGTTTAATTTTGAAAGAAGGGTTTTCTTTCGAAATAACCGCGTCTAGACTGCATTTCTTTTTTTAAAGAAATCAGTGCTTCTTGCGCAAGAACTATGATGCTCCCACTCAGGAAAAAGCCCTCTTGCACAACTATTCTTGCGCAAGAGGCTAGTGTAGACAGGCAACATGAATTTCTAGAGACAGCCCTGCAAATCTGCAGGGATCTGCTTTAGATCCGCAGATATCTGTGGATCATTTTTGAGGACTGAATGTGGATACACATTTTGTGCGTGTGCAGGCCGCTAGCAGAGCTACATTTTCACCACGTATCAGTACAATGAAAGGGACAATATATAGATGAAAGAAGGGAAAAAGCCCTTGTCTGCTTAATCAAAGTACTCCTCTTTCTTAAAATTTTCTTTTCTTATACCACCCCCCTAATGTGTTAGCCACCAGGTGCTTATTTCACACACAGATGTCTAAAGATTTACATAAATGTCTGGGTAACTGCTCATCAGTCCTCAGTTATTCTGAATTGAGTTCTAACAGTACTCTGCATTGAAAACCAATAGGAATCTGCCACTTGGAAGTGTTTTATTTTTAGAGCATCTTATCTTTAGCCACACTGGGGGAAAACACACATGAACTTGTATGTCCTCAGCTGCATGCTACTGCAAGGCAGCAGACTCCATGCTGTTAGTTTTCAGTCACTAAACAAACACTTCTGGCAAAAGCTTCTCTCTTTAGTTTGGCTGCTTACATCTACCATTTTCTCTTATCCCATCTGTTGAAAAATGGATAAATGATGATAAAGTGTAGATTGCTTCCTAACAGATATGAGGAGGCAGGATGATTGATTTTTAAGGCATTGGACTGGAACTTTGAGTCCAGTCCCAGTTCTGCTACAGACTTTCTGGTTGGCTGTGGGCATGTCACTTGATCTATGTCTCATCTGTGAAATGGGAATAACTTCCTTATCTCCTAGGGAATCATGAGGCAAAAATCATTACTGCTTACGTGATGCTCATACTAACATGACAAGTGCAACAGAAAACCCAAACACTGAACTAGAGATTAATAAATATGTTATCTGTCAATTTAGTTTCTTACGGGAATTCATTTCTTTCTGTGTTCATCATTGTTTGGCATAACATCTGCCGGTGAACTGACCTATCTGAAGATACCCCGGTCATCTGAAGAAGTGGGCTGTGCCCACAAAAGCTCATGATACCATCTACATGTTTTGTTAGTCTATAAAGTGCTACCAGACCATTTGTTGTTTTTATCTGAAGATTGTGGACTGGGCTCAAAAGTGGAAGCTCATTTCTCTGTCTGAAGATTGTGGACCGGGCTCAAAAGTGGAAGCTCATTTCTCTGTGTATAGAAAGAAAGAAAGAGAGAGAGAGAGGCACATGCAGATATAACTAAATGTAGAAACTCACACTCATGCTTGGAAATGTTCTAGAATGACTGGCACATTTTGAAAGGTGTAAATTAATTCTCTACTTTTTGATTAATCTGGCCTTGCAATACTGCAGCATTTGTTCACAGCACAAAGCTTTGCAAAGTGTTGATATATCTTTAGCATTTTCTCATGTTTTCCTCAATCTATCATCTAGGCCTGACTTCTTCATTAACCTGTCTTAAGTACATGTTCTTTTCAGTTATTGAGAACTGGAGCTCTATATAAAAAGAATCAAAGTTAACTCCTCTTTAATCTCCTGTGTTTTGTAGTCTTAGATTGGATCAGTGATTGGTCAATACCTGTGGTTCTTGCACTTACCCTGCCTGGTGATGCTGTTTGTGTGAACTTTCAGAATTGTTTTTGTAAATCTAAAGAACAGAACCTGTTGGTATTTGTGAGCGAGCCTCCCCAAATGTTATGGAATGTGACAGCTACTTCTCAGTTGTTTCTTTATTAAACCAGGAAATTTGTGTGTGTGTGTGTGTGTGTGTGTGTGTGTGTGTGTGTGAGTTTAAGCATTTTCTGCATACTTTTCATGGACTTAGAAAGTTCAAGGTGAGCATTCACTTTTTTTAAACTGATCTTTGAACCTTTCAGGATCACCATCTCTCATTGCCAAAGAGCTTTGTGGGAGCAGTAGCAGCAAGCTAAGCCACCAACTAAAATTATGCCTTCCTACCACTGATGTACACTGAATTGCAAATAATCTAATGGTCTGTAATAAGGACAAATTGGTTCACAAATACTGATTTTTAAAAATCAAATAATCTAATGGTCTGTAATAAGAAGGACAAATTGGTTCACAAATACTGATTTTTAAAAATGTATGGTTATTCTACAATGAATGTGATGTTTATCTTGGGAGAAAGGTTGATTTTTTTTTTTAAGGAAAAGCTGATGTTTTTATTCTGAAATTCTAGTATAACTGCTAATAATTTATAAGGGATCTTTTCTGAGCAAGATACACTGAACTTCTATCCATCCACAGAGGTTAGAAAACAGGCAACAGAACATTTCAAGCTCTGCAAAGGGAACATGAATACATGTAAAAGTGTGAATATAAGACAAGGAAAAAAAGAGGTCAGTGTGGTTGCCATCAGAATGAACGGAGTAATTTTAGCTTTTTATGTGGTTGGTACTTAAGCAACATGGAAGCAAAGCTTTCCATTAACACAGATAATATTACTGGGATATATTGTCATTGAATACAGTAGTTACTGTCCCTAGAGAACTGCACCAGATGAAAGTATTTTCATTTTCCACAATTTTTCCCTTAAGCAAACTCCCTCATATCATTTCAGTGTCTCCTTCTCTCTTTGTCTCGCTCTCTCTGGGTGTGTCTAAACTACATGGCTCCATCGATGGAGCCATGTAGATTAGGCTGATCGGCAAAGGGAAATGAAGCCGTGATTTAAATAATCGCAGCTTCATTTAAATTTAAATGGCTGCTGCGCTGACCTGAAAGCCCTTTATTGACCTCCCCGTTATGCCTCGTAGGACGAGGTTTACCGGGGAGGTCGATAAAGGGCTTTCACGTCGGCAGGGGAGCGTCCAGACTGCCCCAATCTGCTGACAAACAGCTGATCGGCAGAGCGGGTCAGCCATTTAAATTTAAATGGCTGCTGCGCTGAGCCGACAAACAGCTGATCGGCAGAGCGGGTCAGCCATTTAAATTTAAATGAAGCTGCGATTATTTAAATCACGGCTTCATTTCCCTTTGCTGATCAGCCTAATCTACATGGCTCCGTCGATGGAGCCATGTAGTTCAGACGTACCCTCCGTGTGAGAGAGAAAGCGCGCATGTTCTTGATACTGAAATCTTGACTCAGTGGCAACATGCAGAAAAGTTGAACGTTTACTATGAATTCAAACAGACCTTAGTGGTTAGGCATTCCAAAAACACTAAAGTTCTCCGGAGAAAAGGAGCATAAAATAGCTGATTTTGACTGTGTAGCAGATGAAACTTGGGAACCAACTAAATGTGAGGCAGTAACATTTTTATAATATTAACCAATTTCTGACACATGATCACATGACTTGCCATCCAGTCAGGTAAACTGGAAGTCAGTTTATGGCCCCATTTTTTTCTCCTCCCCTTATCCCCTGAGGTTTTGGGAATTTAAATAAGATTAGGTGAAGATACCAAGACATCACATTGTATCTTCTAAACCATGAAGTTATGTCCACACTAAGAAATAGAGGTATCTTCACTTCCTACGGCTGAAGTTCAGATTTTCCTTCTGTCAGTGAACTGCAAGATGGAATATAAGTTGAGCACTTGCAACTGATCCAAGAGAAGGTGCCTCTACAAAGGTTATTTTGGGGCCTGGTGAGGATTGGTGATAGGCTCCACATAGCCTTCTACCCTGTGTTGAGACACCGCAGGGGAACCTTGTATTTCCTGCACCTACTCTCTCCACTTTGTTCTCCAGAGCTATCAGTCCAGTGCCTTTTCCTGCTATTAAACCCACCTGGATACTTTACAGAATTTTAAATACTGTTTTGTCAAAACAGCCTATAGTCATGTGGGTATATCCAAGAGTAAAGTCCTTCAGATCCGTGGAGGTCATGCAATAGTTATATTGGAAGCGCTATTGCCATGGAAAGCTAGGATGTGGTCCTGTTGTGGTGAGGCATTAATAAGGTTGCAAGCTAACTGAAATCAGATGTAATTACAAAGGCATTAACAAGGTTGCAAGCTAACTGAAATCAGATGTAATTACAAAACATGACTATTTGAAATAGTAATGAAAAGAATATAAAATCAGGTAAACCTGGCACTTCTTACCTCTTTCATGTTCGTTTCTAGTTTTTTCACTTCGTGTCCTTTCCTCTCAAGCTGCTCAGTTAACTTGGTAATTCTCTCTGCTAGCTCCACGGTGGCATTCTCATGGTCATCCTTATTGGTGCTTCTAAAATAAGACGTCAATTTCTTCACTATTTTGTCATCACATCTGCGCGTTATAAAGAGAAACTAGCGACACTTCCAGGAAAGGTCAATGGGTTTCCTGCTATTCTCCTGGCATCACAGTATCATAGGGCATCAGTTCAAACTTGTGACCTTGACCTACAGAGCTCTTTATGGTTTGGATCCCGACTACGCTGGTTTCCCATCTCCTCTTAGTTGACAGCTGAAATCAGCTGAGGTGCCTGAACTAACAGCTTCTATGTTTGTATAGCTGGAAAGAGACTGGCAAGCAGGCTGGAAAGTCTACTCGCCCATGGCTTCACTGGGAGGAGGATTATGCTGGAAATTATCTTTTCTGGAGAGCAGGGGGACATTTCCCAGAAGGAATTCTAATCCATATAGATGGTCTATGCCAGTGGTCCCCAACCTTTTAGGGCTGCTGAGCGCCCAGGGGCGGGGCCTCTCATGCACCGGGCACCTGGGGCCATGGCTGCACACGCACCCGGGGGCAGGCCCACCCATATGTCACATACCCGGTGCCGGCACCGCCCATGCTCAGCACTCCTGGGGCCGGCACCACTCCTGTGCTGCGTGCCCAGGGCCGGGGCCACCCACATGCCCAGGAGCCGGCAGCACCCATGCACCTCGCGCCCAGGGCCAGCACAGCCCATGCACCGCGAGCCTGAGGGCAGGGCCACCCAAGTGCTGCGCACCTGGGGCTGGCACCGACCCTGTGCCACGTGCCCGCGGGCGGGGCTGGCCCCGATCACTCAGCGGGCGCACAGAAATGGCCCGGTGGGCGCCATGGTGCCCGCGGGCACCGCGTTGGGGACCACTGGTTTATGCAATGTGTGTAAAATATTTACTGCAAGTGCAGCTGAAGATGTGACTTAGCAAAGAGGATTCAAGTGATATGCAGGGTATGTTGTTAAGAAGGATTTTCCTCTAGCATGTGGACACTGGGGTTTCTTTTTACTTGGAGTAAAACATACCTTCCCGCCCACCCACAAATATCTCACTTTCCTTTCTTATTCCTGCTAGCATCAGATGGGTATTTCAAACACAGTTTGTCTCTGGTGCCTGGAGCGAGAAGGCACAGAGGGACTGCTGTCTTTTTTTTTTTCCCTTCTTCGGTGAAATAGTTTTATGGCTTCTCACTAAGAGACCTCATTTAAATCATGCAATACAATTTGCAGTGGGAAACCAAAGGGCTAAACGGTAATCTCCGTTAAACATACCCACTTCCGCAACAGGGGACCCTGTCCAGAAGTTTCTTCACATCAGCCACTTGGGATTGCTGGTCCCCTGTCCACTTCTCCTCCTCTTCATCTGAGGCAGCCTGGCCCTCCACAGACCGGAACATCTGATCTTCTACTGAGGAAAAGAACAGCCACTTAGCTTGAGCGAAAGCTTGGTCATGCTCATTACCTTTTGGATACTTGATTCTCAACATCTTTTGTTTCGGTGAAAGTGAATCACTTTAAAATCTAAAATGTGTAAGAGAGAAATGGCATATGATAGAGGTCTATAAAATCATGAGTGGTGTGGAGAGGGTGAATAAAGAAAAGTTATTTACTTGTTCCCATAATATAAGAACTAGAGGACACCAAATGAAATTAATGGGTAGCAGGTTTAAAACTAATAAAAGAAAGTTCTTCTTCACACAGCGTGTAGTCAACCTGTGGAACTCCTTCCCAGA